ATGTTCTGTTGGGGGGGGTACAAAACATGTGCCTATATCAAGGATATGAATAATAAATATAAAATGCAAAGTAGTTAAGGAGGGAATTCAAAGTTGAAGGGATGAGGAAAAGGCTTTAGAAGTGATGGACTTACAGGGCAGCTAGGTGGTACGGTGAATAGAGCACCGGTCCTAGAATCAGCAGGACCTGAGTTCAGAATGGGCCTGTGACATATTAGGTGTATGACCTTGGGCAAATCATTTAACCCCTATAGCCTTAAGAAAAAAAAAAAGTGGTGGACTCTGTTGAATGGATGTTGGGAGTCATGGATGATAGTTAATGCAAAGGTATGGAAAACATAGAGAGAGCAAGTAGCAAGAAAGGCCAAGTTGGCCAGACCACAGAGTTCACAAAGGGAAGTAATGTATGATGAGGCTAGAAAGACAGGTTGGAGCCAGAGTGTGAAGAGCTTTGAAAGCTAAGCAGAGGACTTTATGCTTTGTCCTAGAGGCAGTAGGGAATAGGAGAGTACGTGGGCAGATAACTTAAGGAAAATCGCTTTAGCAATTGTGTGAGGGATGGATTAGAGTAAGGGGAGGCACCATATAGCGAGACCATTGCACTAGACAGATGGGAGCTGATGAGGACCCAAACTAGGGTGTGAGTGGCTCTGTGAATGGAGAGGAGGGGGCATATGTAAAAATGTTGTAAAGATAGAAAGTGTAAGATTTGGCAGTTGATGAGATTATGTAGAGTGAGTGAAGAAGAGTTGAGGATGATATTGAGGGTCTGAACTTGGATGATTGGAAGAATTGTCACACCCTTGAAAGTAGTAGGGGATTTTTTTGAGGGGAGGCAGGGATAGGCAGAACCATGACAGGTCTTTTGACAGCAGAGAAAAAATGGGTTGATAATAAAGAGCTAAAGATTAGAGAAAGTATAATAGTGAGGTCACTATGCTGGAGATGACTGCAAATCATGGAACCAAGGACAAACTCAGTGAATGGCCTCCTTTGTCAATTAAAGATGAGGGGAGGACCTCACCTGAGAGGGTGCTGGGAAGAAGTATTATGGGAGGTTTGGGAATGTATAGTAGTAAGCAATAATGGCGTAGTAAAAAAGAACCTGAATTTGGAATTAGAAGACTTGAGTTCAAATACACTTTCTTTCTTAGTCTTCTTTTTTTTTAGTTTCCTTATTTAAAGAATAAAGTTATTAGAACAGATGACTTCCAAGGTATGAGCACAAAAAAGTTTGCAAAAGCTTTTGGGTGGAGTGAGACAGGTAACATTTCTGGGAACTTTTCTTTTATGATTTCCTGGAACATCAATGAATGAAATAGCTTTATTGCTTCCTGTGTGCCATGGGCTGGGAGTACAAATTAGAATAGTTTGGTAGTCCTGGAGCTCATGCTGTAATTAGACAACCTGAATTCAGCTGCAAGGCAGGTGGTCTGTCCCAGGGGCCATTATGGTGCATCAGCAGGTCAAATGGCTGTGTGTGTGTGGGGGGGGGATTAGAAGGTATGACAGCAGGATAGATAGTAAGACCTCACGATTCTGTCCTATCAGAAAGTTTATAATTGGTGATTCCTACCATGGCCAAACAATGTGAGCTCCATTTTGCTCTTCCTTCTGGGAAGCTGTGGGCTTGAGGGAGGGGTAAAGGGTAAGGCAAGGGCAAAAGGCTTTCATCCCAAATTATCTTGTACTTGTGTTATTTGTTGCATTCTCCCAGTGGAATATAAGGATGCAGTTAGAGTAGAAAGAGCACTGTGGCCTGTGGAATCAGATGACCTGGGTTCAAATCCCACTCCAGATACTTACTATCTTTGTGACCGCAGGCCTCATATTCCTCATCAATAAAATAAATGACGTAGTTGTATTAGATGAACTCTGAGATGCCTTCTAATTCTAGATCTAGGATCTTATGATTCCCATGAAGTCAGTGATTATGAAATTTATGCTAGGAAGAAAATGGACTGGTCATGTGTCAGGTACAAGGAATGGCAAGTGAACTGCCAGAGTACTCCATTGGTTACCTTTGTGATGTCAAGAGAAAGTGAGACAGGCTCCTGTCATATTTGTTGGATGCCCCCTGGCAAATTTGTGGGAGGACATGGATGAGTCATGTGGCATGGGCAGGTACGGATGGGTTGTGAACTAGTTTGTTGGAGGCATCTTCTGAATGGATGATGTTATAGTTATCTGTCTATACTCAGGGCCTAGCTAATGTAACACATTATGCATAGTATACATTTAAGCATTTGTTGAGTTGAATTAAGTTCTTGCTTTTAACAAAGCCCAATGATTAGCCTAGCATCTTCCCTAATGTTTACTCTCCTAGCCTGCCTTCTGTCCAAACTTGACTGACTACCCTTATTGGCAAGTTACTTAATCTAATTGGGCCTCAGTTTCCTTATTTGTGTGGGGTAGATCAGTGGCACAGTGAATGGAGAGCAGAGATGGGCGACGGGAAGATAATGTCTTCTTGAGTTCAAATTTGGCCTCAGACACTTAACTTTGTGACCCTGGGCAAGTCACTTAACCCTGTTTGCCTCAGTCTCCTCATCTGTAAAGTGAGCTGGAGAAGGAAATGGCAAACAACTCAGGGGTATTTGCCAAGAAAACCCTAAATGGAGTCATGAAGAGTCGAATATGACTGAAAAACAAGAAATTCCTCATCTGTAAAATGAGGAAGTTAAATTTATAAGCTTCTGAGTCCCTTCACTCTAGGTCTTAAATTCTTAAATTGATACGTCCTAGAGATCAATTGCTTTAATGTACAAAGATTCTTAATCTTTTTCTAGCTATACAATATTCTGGGCATATTTTTCTATTTCCTCTTATATTTTCTACATCCTTTGCCTTCCAGTATCATAGTTATGCTTACCAATTGCCATTGAATCCGTTGTCTTATATTTTCTACTGACATTCTTAACCTATTTCGTTTCATTGTGACATTGACCTAGGTTTTCTTATTAGTTGCTTTATTTTGTTTTGTAATAATTTGGGCTCATTTTATTTCCTTTAGAGAGTTTGTCTATTTTGTTATATCTTTGATAAAAACAAGTTTTGTTTCTGGTGCTTCTGTTGGTGCTGTGTCTAAGTATATTTTTCTTCTGGCAGATTTTCTCTGCTTTTTTATAATCTGTAATATTTCTTTGTAAAAGAAGATTCTGACTTATTTTTTCTTTCTTCTAAAGCTAGTTTTTCTTTTCAGGGTTTCTGGTAGTTTGGTACTCTGGTTTTGTTTATTGGTTTGCTTTTTGGATTGTTACTCCCATTAGAATGTAAGCTGATTTTGAGACAGGATTTTTTTCATTTTTTTTTTTTTTTACTTGTATCTTCAGCACCTAGCGCAGTGCCTGGCACATAGCTACTTAACAAATACTTGTTGATTGATTCCTGTTCTTCTTTCCCTCTGTTTGTGAGATGTATTCCTTACAGGGATCTGGGGCTTTGGGGATCGTGGCAATAATATCAGCGTTTGACTAGCAGGGTCTTACTTTCTTGCAATTGTGGTTGAAGAAATCTTGAAAGAGTTATTGATAAATTACCACTTTCTCCCTACCTTCCTTCCTGAAAAGTAGCATTTCACCAAAAGATTATAACTCAATTCCTTAACTATTATTGAATAAATGCTTGTTTTAAATGAAAGTATGTATGTGTGCTTACACATGCTTAAGTGTCTAGAAAAGGGAGGCATGAAAATTAAATGAGGTAGTTCTGGTTAACTAGTGAAATATATTAGGACCAATTAATTTTGAATCCACAGTAATTTTTTTTTTAACATTGTAGAAAATGTATGTGGTTGTGGGGGGAGAGGGAAGGAAGATAAAAATAATTATTTTAAACTGGATGTGTTAAAAACAATACTTTTTGTAACTAGAGCAAACAAATCCATATATGATTTTAAGCTGTTTAAATGTGGCTTAAATTAGTTCAAAGACAACATTATTGGATAGTCATAATAACTTTTTATGATGTTCTGACATATTATAGGTAGGGGGGAACTAGCCCAGGAGTCAGGAAGGCCTAGGTTTAAGTCCTGCCTCTGACATATACTGTTTCTGTGACCTTGGGTAAGTCACTTACCTGCTCAGTACCTCAGATAGTTCTAAGAACAGAAGTTGCAGAATAAGTGTTATCTGTATTTGATTAGAGGTTTTCTCACTGAATGCCCTTTACCAGTGAAATCACAGATCCAGTGATTTCCTCCCCCGGTGTGTAGAGTAAGAAGAAAGTCAAGCTGTCTTTTAAAAAAAGACAGTATCAATTAAAAAAAAAACTTTTGTCTTTTCCACATAGTGTATTATTTAGTCCTTTTTTCTTCATAAATAATAACTTTATTGTAACTTGATGTGCTGAAATGCAAAAATCTTTTTTTTTTTGTTTGTTTATATTTTGCTTAGTACTCTGCTAGTTTTTATAGTAAAGTTGGATGACATCTAGGAGTGAAAATAGAGTGACTTTTTCATTTGTGTAAGGCAAAATGAAATTCTAGGGGCCCAGCAAAAAATACCTACTTGGAGCTTTGTTGCTATGAATGAGTGAGTCTTGGCAGTATGCTATCACCCACCTTAAATTTAGTGATTTTTTTGTTTTGTTTTGTTTTTGACTCATTTCTCTGAAGAGTTCTAGAGGTTTGCTACATACCTTTATCCCTTTAACCAACTTTGTATAAGACTGTTTCATGGTGTATGATTCTTAACTGTTGGTAGATTGGTGTTAACTGTAAGCTAAATTTGTGTTCCCTACCAAGCTACCTGCCCCAAATTTTGTTTTTTCAAAATGAAAAGTATTCTGTGTCACATATGAGATGGTAGTTTATTCCTGACTAAAGTGTCTTGTTGACTAGAATTTTTGTGTGATTCTCCAGTTATATTTTGAAAAGTTTTTTTTTTAAGTCCATCTTCTTGCTCCATTTGTTTGCCAGACTTAAAAAAAAAAATTTCCTCGTGGTTTGGTGAAATCCTTCTCTAATTCAATCTTTGTCTTTTGTCTTTGCTGCCTTGCAGGGTTGGTACAGTAGGCCTCACTAGACTTAGCTGCAACTCAGAATTTCTCCTCCAACAACTGAGTAAATGCTGATGGTCTTTGTGGAATGTGGATAAAAAGTTCGGGCTAAGTTCTCAAAATTCCAATTAAGAAGCGGAGAAAAATTTTAAAAACTGTCTCCTTCAAAGTTTGTCACAACCAGCACCATCAAGACAGCAAATCAAAGGACAAAGACTTTGACCTGCTCTATTACTATATTTAGTCCGGTCCACGTATGGTATAAAGACTTGGCTGGGGGGACCAAAAAGTAAAGTTGAACACATCTGTCATTGGAAGCTGTTGACTTAACAAAGTTACCAAAATGAGGGCCGTGCTGGAGACAGCAGACATTGCCATTGTGGCCCTGTACTTTGTGCTGGTCATGTGCATTGGTTTTTTTGCCATGTGGAAATCCAATAGAAGCACCGTGAGTGGATACTTCCTGGCAGGGCGCTCTATGACCTGGGTAGCTATTGGTGCCTCTTTATTTGTGAGCAATATTGGGAGTGAACACTTCATTGGGCTGGCAGGATCCGGAGCTGCAAGTGGATTTGCTGTAGGTGCATGGGAATTCAACGCCTTAATGCTTTTGCAACTTCTGGGATGGGTTTTCATACCAGTCTACATCCGGTCAGGGGTGTACACCATGCCTGAATATTTATCCAAGCGTTTTGGTGGCCATAGGATTCAGGTCTATTTTGCAGCCTTGTCTTTACTTCTTTATATTTTCACCAAGCTTTCAGTTGATCTGTATTCAGGTGCCCTCTTTATCCAGGAGTCTTTGGGTTGGAACCTTTACTTATCTGTGATCCTGCTGATTGGAATGACTGCTTTGCTGACTGTAACTGGAGGCCTTGTTGCTGTCATCTATACAGATACGCTTCAAGCTTTGCTCATGATCGTTGGGGCACTTACACTTATGGTTATCAGCATGATGGAGGTTGGTGGGTTTGAGGAAGTTAAGAAAAGGTACATGTTGGCGACACCTAATGTGACCTCGATCTTGTTGACTTACAACCTTTCCAACACGAATTCTTGTAATGTCCATCCAAAACCAGATTCCTTGAAAATGTTGCGTGAGCCAACAGATGAAGATGTTCCTTGGCCTGGATTCATTCTTGGGCAGACCCCGGCTTCGGTGTGGTATTGGTGTGCCGACCAGGTTATTGTGCAAAGGGTCTTAGCTGCCAAAAATATTGCACATGCCAAAGGCTCCACTCTGATGGCTGGCTTCTTAAAGCTTCTGCCTATGTTTATTATAGTGGTCCCAGGGATGATTTCAAGGATACTATTTGCAGATGATATTGCTTGCATCAACCCAGAGCATTGTATGCAAGTCTGTGGCAGCCGAGCTGGATGCTCCAACATTGCTTATCCACGCCTAGTGATGAAACTGGTACCTGTGGGCCTGCGGGGGCTAATGATGGCTGTAATGATTGCAGCACTGATGAGTGATCTCGACTCAATATTTAACAGTGCCAGTACCATATTCACCCTTGATGTGTACAAGCTCATTCGCAAAACAGCAAGCTCCAGAGAGCTAATGATTGTGGGGAGAGTTTTTGTGGCCTTCATGGTAGTGATCAGCATTGCTTGGGTGCCGATCATCGTGGAGATGCAAGGGGGCCAGATGTACCTTTATATTCAAGAAGTGGCTGATTATCTGACACCCCCAGTGGCGGCTCTTTTCCTTTTGGCCATTTTCTGGAAGCGTTGCAATGAACAAGGGGCATTTTATGGTGGAATGGCTGGCTTTGTTCTAGGAGCTCTTCGCTTGATCTTGGCATTTACCTACCGTGCACCGGAGTGTGACCAACCTGATGAGAGGCCAGCCTTCATAAAGAATATCCATTATATGTATGTGGCCACAGCTTTGTTTTGGGTCACAGGACTCATTACTGTGATAGTCAGCCTTCTCACACCACCTCCTACCAAGGAACAGATCCATACTACCACTTTCTGGTCTGTAAAAGTCCCAGACAGGAAAGAGAGCATCCCACGAGAGGACCCATACAAAATGCAGGAGAAGAGCATCCTGAAATGCAGTGAGAACCTTGAGGGTACCAACCACATTGTTCCTAATGGAAAGTCTGAAGAGAACCTGAAGACTGTGCAACCAGAGGATATCAACCTCTTGATGCCATGCAGAGAAGAGAGCAACCCAGTGTCTTCTCTAAGTCATTCTGAGGCCGAGACACCAGTAGACTGTTACTCCAATGGGCAGGCAGCTCTCATGGGTGAGAGAGAACAAGAGAAGGAGATTGAGGGTAGACACCAGTACTGGAAATTCATAGACTGGTTCTGTGGTTTTAAAAGTAAGAGCCTAAACAAAAGAAGCCTCAGAGATGTGATGGAGGAGGAGGCTATTTGTTTACAAATGTTGGAAGAGACTCCCAAAGTTAAGTTAACACTAAACATTGGACTCTTCGCTGTCTGTTCACTTGGAATCTTCATGTTTGTTTATTTTTCTCTGTGAACTTTTAAGGGGATGGTGAGACACTAGTTTGTGAGGATACTTTCTTTGGAAAAAAAATTACCTATAACTGTTGCATCTCTCAGGCATTGTTTGTTCTGAGGTTTTAGCCAAATTTTACTTAGCAAAAAAAAAAAAGTCATCTATTTGCAAGACTTTTTAATCTACCCAGAGTTAAACAAAAATAATACTCTTCAGTTTAAATGAAGCAAAACTTTTTTTTAGCCTCCTCAGTTGTACAAATGAAATTAAATTTTTCCTTCAATACCAAAGTAAAGAAAATGGTTTTATCTTAATGTTATACTATGAGAGAACCTAGACCAGCTACCAATGGGACCTTTAAAGCAGAATATATTTATTTTACAATACTTTGAACAGATGTATAGTATACGCTGCCAAGTCTGGGTAGGATTTTTCACACCTCAGAGGACCAGATGCATTCAAATGTAATTCTCTTGCATCTTCTAACCCTGTTTCCCCCACCCCCATTCAATATTTCTAAAAAAAAAAAAAAAGATTCTTACTGCACAATCAAGTTTTGCTATAAAACTATTTATTGGAGTTCTATGGTAAGTCCATTAGAATGAGTTAGCCAGTTTTATTGCCAGCATTTGTACGCCAAGAGTCTTTGTGAAAAGAAAGGAAAACTTTTCCTATAGGTGTTCTTGCATCAGCTGCTATAACAGGATTTTGAGAACAATTTCATGTTCTAGTTTCTTTTCCTCTTTCTTTCCATACAAAATACTGGGCACTTGCAAATTGTTACCATGCCTTTCCCTTAAGGGAAAATGGGTGAGAGAATGTGAATGGTACAGTTTGGGCACTATTACTGAGACAACTCAGAACCTAAGTCCTACTAACAAGTTGGTTGACTGTCATCTCTGAAGAGGATGGAAAACATTCCTGTGAGGACATGGTGTGAGGAGAACCCTCTTCTTATATTGGAGATACTCCACTTGGAGGAGCTGGCTTGACGTGGCCTGGCTTCTGTCTAGCTTCAGTAACTGAGATCAGAGTTCCATGTCCTACTCCCATTAGTAGGGAAATCACAAGCTGGCTACCTTGGTTGAGGGTGGCATAAAAGCACACAAAGAAAATCCATAATTACTTTCTCTTACTGAATCCTGTATAACTATATAGATCTTCAGTCACCACATCTTTACAAAAATAAAAAAAAAAGAAGTAGAACACTTCTATTCCCTTTGGATTTTTATCAAAACCATTTAACTTAAATGTTACCAACTTCTTACAACTTCTGGCTTTCAGTCGACCATGAACCATTAACTTAAAAGATTTTTGTCTCTAGACTAATCTTACTATGTTGGACTACTACTAATTGATCCAACCATGATTAATTTTAAAATTTATCTGGTAGCAAAATGTCTTCTCATCCCCATAGGGACTTTGTAGAGGATGTCTGTGGCTTATAATAATTCCTTGTATTAATAGCATGTCTTTATGGAGTGCCTTGTGAACATTATTGAATTCATTCTACATGTTTATACTCTTAGGATAAATAAGAAGGGGTCAGCCTTATTTATCCAAGATACCAAGTTGGCCAGGTCTCCAACTTGTGTTTTGCCCATTAAGATATACTTTTCTAAAGACGAAATTCTCCGTGTCTGTTGAAAGGTATGATTAAAAAGTTAGGAGTTTTTTGATAACTTTTAAGAAATGTTGTAATGTAAAGATTTGTCCTAATTTAATTTTCTTTGGTAGCTTATTGTATTGCAGTGTGAATTATCTGTATGCTGACTTGCATGATATTGGTGTCATTTTACCCCACTGATTTAGAAGCAATTGTTTTTAACAGATTTTAATTTTTTTTTGGTTAAGAATGAAATTTGGAACCATTGGTTCTCATCTCCCTCCAGTTGTCTTAATTGATTATTATACAAATAATAGCATCTGTGTGTGTATACGTACATATATAAATATATGTGTATATATATATATATACATATATATATATATCTCTTAAACCTGGGCTAATGTTTATTAATGAGGAAAGCTATCAAATTTGTGGTCAACTAAAACTATCTGTTAGTTTAAATTGAAAACCCTGTTTATTACCATGACTATTTTTCAGCCAGAAATAATAACCTTCAGTATCATAAGTTATTTATGACGTGCAGACAAAAATTTCTTAACATATTCTATATGATTACTTGGAAAGAGGTGTAGACTATTTTTAGTAAAATACTTTTAATGATAAAGCCAAATAGGCATCTCTTTGTAGACATTAGTGTGTACATTGTTGTTTGTTATTTTAGGTTAAGGTTCATATTTGTTCTATAGTAACAGTGATCAAAGCTACTAAGAATCAAAATGAGGGAAATGAATGAATTTGTTCTGCAAAGATGAAAAAAATTGTATTAGCTGTCCCATGGTCCGAGTTATTTTGATGTTTTTAGGTAATTATCTCCGTACTGCCAAATGGGCAATTGTAACCTTCTACCCTGGAGTGACTACCTCAGCCCTCCCCCCCCCAGGCAACTCATCTGTCTCCTACTTTAGATAGGAGAAATTCGGGTTCTGAAGGACTCTTCAGAGTTGGCAATGCCAACAGTTTTTTTGTATCCTTTAGCCATTCCATTTTGTAGCCAAAACCCCCTTCCCATTTGGCTGCCATGATACATTCTCTGTTGCAAAGAGTCTGTGGTTTCCCAGTGAAAAGGGTTGTTGCAACAGTCTGTCAAGGTGACCCATGGTTGCAGCTCCTAGGGATGGTCCCACGTTTTTCATAGAGGACTCTTAGAATGTAACTTTTTAGAACTGGAATGGATGTTTGCGATGGTCTAGCTTATATTTCTACATGCTTCTTTATTCTTCAATTGAGGTAGTTGAGACTGGGAGAGATTTAATGATGTGTCCTTACAAGCTAGAGCCATTCCAATGAGTTTTCTTTTCTATTTTGCCATACTACTTTGAACTATTTTACCAAGAATCAGCCGCTATTTGCAGCTCAGTATTTCTACCATTGTCTCTGTGGTCCAGCTGTGTCCATGGCTACTTACAGAAAAGCATGATCTTTTCCATTTTGGGGCATATTGGCAGCTTTTACAATCTTTTCCTCTTCCCTACTAGCTATACCAAGGCCAGTTCACCTCTACCTGATTATCAGGTACAGAAGGATAAGAAAACTGAAGGTAGTTACCCTAAGGTATAAGGCTTAAGGTATGGGACCACATACCCTTTCATAGGGACTATGGATACACACAAGAGCAAAAATAATTTCTAGTACCTCAGAGATAACTAAAGCTCATAAACTCTTCTAGCCATTCATTTGGAAAAATGAACTAGGCAAATAACTGGGGATTCTGAGTTTTACTTGGATAATATAAACATGAGCAAAGCAGTAAATTTAAGTGATATAAATGGAAATGATGACTTGCCAAACACCGATTGGAAAAAAGTGAATGTGGTGGTAGATGTTGACATTTAGTCATATTAAGGAAGCCTGGTTTGACCTTAAATTTTTTGTGAAGGACAGACTGTTAACCTTTATAATTGAAGTGATGACAGTGGTTGATCTTTATTGGTCATAATTTAGTAATGACAATGTTTCAATTTTTACTTCCAAGGATATTAACATTTCATTTGGCATGATGTCTGGTTAATACTGAGATTATCCAGAATAAATTTTAGGCATAATATTGTCTACAGAGATGTGACTCCTCTCCTTTCTTTTTCTGACTTCATTTTCCTTCCATCCCCTACTTTTCCTCTTTTCCTTTTCACATTTTAATCGATCAGTGTTTTGTTAGCTTGAAGTAATTTCAGACTTCTTGTCATCGTATGAGAGTCCTGCTTTACTGTGGTATTGGAGGTTATAATCCCAAAGAAGACTCACTAAGCTCAGTTATATAAAATAGTCCAGAATAATATATTAAACTTACTTCACTTTAAAATTTAATGCTTGCTGCTTTTCATTAGAAAAATGAGAGCTTTTTCCCAGCTTCATTCAGTATTCTTCTTAGCAAATAATGTGAACTCTAGCTTAATTACCAGTATTACTTAATTCCCTGATGTTTTGTTCTATTTAAAAAAACAAAAACAACACAGAATTTGAGGAAGCTACAGTTAAGGGTTCATATTAATTCCATATAATGACAATACTTAATACAATAAGACATAGTAATGCTGTCCTGCCAAAAAAGAATTTATAGGTAGTTTAAAAAATTACTTTTTAGAGAAGAGGGTGTGGGAACTGTTGGCTGATAAGGGATAGATAAGAGGTTTGATGAGCTGAATTTTTCATCTCCTAGTTGTTGGAGTGTTGTTGATAGGCCTGAGATTTAACCAAATTCAGAAGGCAGTAATCCTTGACTGCCTTGAATCATAAGACTCGCAAAACCCTTTTCATTTTTTTAAAGAATATTCTAACTCAGACATTCTTAACCTTTTTTGTGTCATGGACCCTCCAAAGCTGCTAGGCTCCTAAAAAGGTTTAATTTAAAAATCATAATGGAAGAAATGCTAACTTTCAGTTAGAGGTTAGTGAAAATAAAGATGTAGTTTTCCCCCTCCATCCTAAAGTCTACCCTCAGTTAAGAACTCATGCAGTAATACACTACCCAACTACCTTTGTGGCAAGCCAAAATGTTTGGCATCTTGGATGAAGGTATTATTGCCTTTGTGTAGGAGCTTAGCAGCAGGCTCAGACTTAATTACAGGGTCTAAATGCTGCTACTGTCTCCTTTTCATCTGACTAAGTTTCTTTTAATTCTTCTCCCCAAATAATGGGAATGAGGCTTAAACTACTGATGTACCTAATAAAGATGCTGTGAGGATAAATGAAATTTGTTTAGTTATTTTTAAGCACTTTGAGATTTTCAGATTATGTTCATGTCAAAAATAGTACAACCCCACGTTCCCCAGTAGTTAGACTTCCAGCAACAAATGGGTCACAGCCATGACTCTAAAAGGCTTTCAAATAGAAAAAAAAAATCGAGCATTTGAAATATCCCTTGTAAAGACCCGGAAGCCCCTTGAGGACAGGGACTGTGCCTACTTATTTATCTCTGCTGTTTTAGCACTTAGCACAGTGCCTTGTTAACAATAGGTGCTTAATAAATTAGTGTGTTTTTAAATGAATGAATGATCAAAAATACCCGTGCACTTTATTCCATATAAGAAGCCCTTACCTAGAGCCTATTGACTCAAACCATTTTCCTTACTTTACCGAGAATCTTGATTGTATGAATTTTGGGGGGGCTGTAAAAAGAAAAAAAAGCAGGCACAGTGATAGCAATAAGCCTTTTGAAAACGTGTAACCTGATAACACGATAAGGGAGAATATGCAAGGTAAATGCTGCATAACCATTAGGGACTACTTAGGATAGGACATCTTCTACATAGCTCTAGCCCCACCCCAGGCATCATGGTATTACCTCTCAGTAGAGTGATTGATGGTCATATAGATCACACACTTGTTAAGAATATTGTATCATAACTGTTAAAAATGATAGGGATATTTCTAATACATGGTAGGAATACTTCCAGAAAATGTTTTAAAATAAAACTTGGCACTTAATAGCAGTTCTGATACCCACTTATGGCATACGCCACTTAACTACTAGTTCTGCGTCAATGAGGCATTACTGTACTCTGTATTTTCTTTTACTTTTAGACAGGCAATCTGGATAATTTTTAGTCATTATATCTAGAGATATAATTAATTAGCCTGTTTCAAAAATAAGTTGGTGTGTTGTAAATACTGACCTGTGTTGAGAATTTGGTAGTAATGCCTCAGGAAAATAGCTCCATGTATTTTAGTGGTAGGAAGATTAAATTTTTCCGGTAATGTGGAAATCAGAATTTGTTTGACTTCCTCATGATACAGTGAAACACAGAATCTTCTGGGTTACTTGTGATGAGGCTTTTAAAATTAAAATTATCTGTATTTGACACCGTGCCTTCAAATAGTCAGTCCTGACTTAACTATCGTAGTATAAGTACTAATTCTTGCAGTTTTTCTTTTATAGTTTAATATAACTAGGAAGAATAAATCAATATACACACAAGCTCACTGTATAGCGAACTTTTTATTAGACTAAAAGAATCCATAATGTGATATGTTTGTTTTTTTAGCTTAAAATTATATTTATTTTAGTGTTCATGTGTGTATGGAGAGGGGGGAGTTTTTTATTTTTTTATTTTTGGCAACCTTATAGAATTTTATGTATTCACTTAACTGAAGCATAATCTGTAAAACTTTTTTAATGTTTTGTTCCTGTAAGGCTTTTTTATTTTTTATTTTTTGCTTTTATGTTTGCCTAGTATAACTTTATGATGCGATGTTTGCTAAAATCTTTGTGTGAAAAGAACATTTTTTATTCTCTATGGTGGGGAGCTACAAGTGCATTGAAAGCCCAGGATTTGTCCTTTTTATGTGTATATAAAATATATGTATATATACACACACATACACACACACAAAGCACAACATTAAATGATATATTCCCAGTATTGCCCCAATTTCAACTCTAAACCCCACCAAAAACATTTCCATTTTGTTACATATAAAGATGGAGAACCTGATATTGGAAATTCCAAATAATAGGTTATCTACTCATTTCATCAGAGATCCTAGATTATTATAAATTCTGTATGTTATTCTGTGTCTGTTTGTATGTCATAGAGGGAACAGGGGAAGCCCAACTGTTAAGAATATACAATTAACAAAACTTACTGCCAATGTATTCACTGTCAGTGTAGGAAGCGGGGTCTGGTGATTTGTAGCTTCCTTGGCCTTTTTTTCCCCCCGCCTCCTAGGGCAGGGGACTAA